ATTTTTTAGTAGCAATTAAACTTTGGTCTTCAACCTTTCACACTCTGCATTATTAATATTACTTCCCTTTTCACTGCATTCTTTTTCAAAGCCTCTTAATTGCAGTATCCTCATTGTTAATTTCACTCAGTTATTTTCTGCTGCCATAGCAGGATATGACAACACAACTATGAAATTCAAACACACTATTGTTTGGGGATCAGTCACTTTCAGTGGATGGATTAACTTTTTGTACAGTAAATGAAGTCAAATACAGAGTGAAAAAGGCTAAGTTAAACATTTTGTGACAATTGATTCAAACAGATGCATGAAACAAAACAAGATTTTTTTCTTCCATTGTTTTGTATATTTACTAATAAGTATCAGTAAAGTGTGATGCTTTGTTCTAAATAACCAATAACTGTGCAATACAGTGGCATTTTTTCTTTTACTGACTAAAGTATTGTGTGTGTGTATGTGTGTATATATATATATATATATATATATATATATATGTGTGTGTACAAATGCACATTATTATTTTGCGTGTTATTATTTATATATATATATATATATATATATATATATATATATATATATATATATATATGTGTGTGTGTGTATACACACACATGCAAAATAATAATAATGTGCATTTGTATACTAAGTTAGTTTTATCCTGTCCTAGAAACTGTTGAATCTCTTCTTGTCTAGTTCTACTTGATCCACTATACTTAAAATGCAGAAAAATAGATAAGTAAGCTTATTAGACCTTTATTTTGATTTGCTTTTTTCTAGTAAATGCATTGCTGGATACCTTTTGCAGCTATTAATACAGCTTATGATTATTCTGACATAATATTAAAAGAAAATCAATAGTTGATTCTATGTTATTGACTTCTTTTTAAGTGGTTCTATAACTGAAAATTATTCAATTTAATTAATTGAACTATTCTTTTATTGATCTTATAAAAGTCATCACTGCTTTCTCTATTTCAGTATTTAAAAGCCAATTGTAAATAGGAAAGAAAAAAAATGAAACATGATTAATTTATGAATAAGAGATATTACAGACAAATGAACACATACTAAAATAATTTGATCCAAAGTAATAATTCCACAATTTTGCTTATATAAAACCAAGTATTTTGATGTGGTAAATAAACTTAGTCAATTTCATGTGCTTTATAGGTATTCATTTATTTCAAATTTAGAAGGAATGAAGACTTTTTCATACTATACACTCACTTGAAGATTTTTTTTTTTTGGGGTGGGGGTCATCATTCTTAAAATGAATATTCTTATCTATAGTTACTATATGAAAGCAAAATTAGTATATATGGCTCATAGTATTTTAGATTAATATATTTATGAGTTAACCAGAACCACTTACATTATTTTCTGTTATCTTTCACAGAAAACAATGACTCTAAAATTGAAAGAGGCTTAGATTCTCCTAGGCCTTTCTATCATGCATCATCTCTTCCCTCCCCACCCTGACCAACAATCACATATATATATCAACTAATCACATATGTAAATCAACTAATTTACAACACCTACCCTCTCCTGATTTTCAGATCATTTTATCTACTCATAAAACTATGATAAAAATGAACACAAATCAAAATGATTCATAAACTATTTATATTTTTTTACCTCTACTAACTCCACACCATTTCCTAGTCCTACAATGAATATGGTGGATATTAAACATTTTGCAATCTTCATAATGCTTCAGCCTGATTCTCATTTTTTTTTTTTTTTTTTGTCCTTTATCCCTAGTTTCTTCTTCAGATGAACTGACAACCCATTCCATTAATTGATGCATTGTTTGCTCATAGTTTTTCAGCATAATATTCCTCTTGCTTCTAAAGTAGTGATTTGATCAGGGCTTGGATCAGATTTTCAAAATCTCTCTAACTGCACTTTTCAGAAAATATGATCTGAAGTACATGACTTTGTGATGTACTTATTTTAAAGTTATTAGAATTCAAAATTATTTGTTTTGTCTTTTACCAAATATTGTTTATTTGGTTATTAGAAAACTTCCATGAATAAAATAATTTAAGTTTTTAGTTATAATTTCATATGCAGTGTTTTCAGTAAAAACCTTGGATTTTAACTTTTGATAGGACATCACAGGCTAAATAAGTAATCTTGTGCCACATGGTTTCTATTTGCCTGAAGGCAACACTATATTAGGATTTTCCCTCCTACTGCACTTGAGGTGTTTAGATTAGAATCAGAAAACAACTTGGCAAGAATGCCAGAAGATCCATTTGAAGTGGTAAACAAAATTCATTGACTGTAAGAAACTCTTTGAGAGACACGGATGCTTCAGATTAGTCCTCCTTCTTCACTTTACAAGACTTGACTATTTATGTGAAAGAATCAATAGAATGGATGACTGACATTAACAACTGCTTTCTTTTCTCTAACCAGCTGTTGGTTACCATAAACTTGCAACAATCTACAATCCAACCTGTTGAAGTAATGTGCCTATCTAAATAAACAGCTTGAAGTTATTGCAACTGATGCTGCTGCTTATTCTGGCAATGCCTTGTGTGGGAACTTTGTTGTTTAGTAAGATATAGTTTTTTTTTTTTTACAGGAAGAAGGAATTTTCCTTTAAGGTTTATCTTACAGTTCAAAACTATCATTACTCATGCAATATGATAAATGTTTTAAGCATGTCTTAGTCTAACAAGACCATAAGTATAGTACACTCAGTGAGAATCAAACTCACTCCAGATGTAATTGGTATATAAATAAATGTTTACATTAGCGAGTTAATGTTACCTTTGCAGACAAAAAAATAAAAATTGAAACATTTTCTTCTTTATGTAAATAATTACAGAATTGTTTACAGAACATGAACTTGTGCTCAATATTGACATTTTACTGTGTTCTTGTGTGATCTGTAAGAAATAGCCATTTTAATATGAATGAGAACTCTACATGTGTTGAGCAAATTGAACTGTTACAAACGATGTGTGCTTATTTACATTATTTAAGTTATGACTAATGTCTTCATCTTTGTTGTTGTTATCACAATATTTCAACCCTTGTGCCCTCTAGCCTTCTTCAGGTATCTGTTGATACAGGTAATCTTCAGGGAATTTTGAAAAGAACACTTTATTTAATCTCTCGGATTAAATTGTTCTCATTCTCCTGTCCATGTGTAGGGATATTAAGCTTTTATTCTTTTTAATACTATTCTGTTATTGCTATCCTCATTTCCATTGAGTTTAAGTTTATACTATCTGACCCAGGGATTGAACACACAATTACTATACCCCCAAATTCTCAAACCAATAGCCTAGTGGATTAAAATGTTGTTTCATGAATTTGGTGGTTTAGTGAGTTCACTCTCTGGGCTGGGTAATACACATTCAGTAGAAACAGGGTTAGCAATAACTGAGTAATACATAAAAGAAAAAAAAAAAAAAAAAAAAGAAAAAAAAAAGATATTCCTAGATATGTTCAATACACAGTGCAGTAGATTATCCATATAAACAGTTCTCTGCGACTAGTGAACATCAATTTCTAATACTTCACACTTTACATGATGTAATTTCTAGTCATGTCCATCCAGGTTATATTAAAAGCCATCATCCAAATTAAAACAGATTGTAAAAATCTAACAAGAAACAAAACAAATATTTCTGTTAGTACAACAATCACTATTTAAGATGAAACTAAGATAAATTTGTAGTTGATGATAATGTATTATTCAAGATGAAACTCCCTGGTATCTCTAAAGACCTTGCTGGTATATGATAACTAAAGTATCACTGGAAGCTGAAAATATATGGAACATTAAAACAAAAAAAAAAAAGCAAAAAAAAAGCAGTATAAATTTAAATAAATCCATTTAATTTCCAGACTTTTCACCCAAATAAAAAGGTTGTCTCTGGTTGATTTACCACTTCTTGAAGAATATATACTAAAGTTTAATTAATTAATCAAATTTAGAATAAAATGGCTGCAAAATTAAAATTACTAAACCTAATATTTTTTTCTCAATATCTCATTTTTAATGTAAAGGTAGCTGACAAAAATTTATAGACATAACTTTAGTGTTATATAACCAACTATTGACTCTCACTTCGTAAAACACATTCAGAGCCATTTATACAATAAAGTTTTTACTAGTAACAAACTTGATTATCATTTTCTTTTTCTTTAAATCACATGTATTAAGTTAATATTGAATTAAATTAATGGTAATCTGCTTTTTTGTTATTTTCAATTTAGTCCTCAGTTTTGTTGAATTTATTCATAGATTTTATCCATGTAATGCTTGGGTATAAATGAAGCGAAAAAAGAAAATTTGGAATACAATGGATTTATTTTATTATTATACCTTTACAGTATTAGACATTTTTGTTGTTTAAAACATGGGATTGCAAATTGTAATGAAATCCTTCTGATGTGTATTGCTGTATATTTTAGAAACAAGAAATTTTGTGGATAATTGTTTAGTGAACATCATTAAATTATCTTATGTGATATAGATAAATGCTATCAAAGTGAATACCTCTTTCTTTTTTTTTTTTTTTTTTTTTTTCCTTTTCTTTTTTCCCCCTCCCCCCCTTTTTTTACATTTTTTTTTTTAAAAGAGAGTAAATAACGAGAACTTACATAAGATAGATTCTGGTTAAGCAATCCTGCTTGAAAGGAAACAACAGTTAGCAGAAGTTGCATATAAGTGGGATAATCTATTAAATAAATAAAAATAATAAATAGGAGGAATATAATGCTATTCTATTTGAAAGGCAAGAGTAATCATCAAGAAAGAAACAGAGAGAGTTTACCTGTTTTGTTTAGTTTGCTTAGAAACTGTAGTAAATGTTGTTAGCTACAACTGTCATTACAATTGTCTGTTTTATGCTAAAAACTAATTAACAACAATTTCTTTCTCTTTGCCTTTGTTTGATTTGCTGTCTAATCATTTGAATTTATTCTCTTAAAGGCCTCTTTTTCTATATATTGCTTTTTTTTTCTTTTCTTTTCAGGAATGCAGCGCCTGGAGGTCATGTGTTCAGACTGTGGTGCTCATCTGGGCCATGTATTTGACGATGGACCGATATCTAAGAAACAGACAGGCCTGCGCTATTGTGTTAACTCTGCATCGTTGGAATTCAAAAAACATACAACAGTTTAGCATTCATTAATTTCATTCTACATAAAAACTTTGCAGAAATCATGTTTGGTTCCCAAGTTTTCTTTGATTTTGATTCTTTCCTTTTATTTTATATACTGACGCTCACCCCCACCCTAAAACACTTAAAATATGCCTAAATTGGTTTCATTATTTCTTTTTTGTTATAAAAGTAAATACAAACCTGATACAATAATCACTTTAGTTTTAACAAGTTAAATCCATTACTTGTTCATCATTAAAAAATAAATCACTTTTTCGTTGTAATAATGTCAGCTTCAAATCTTATCTCTTCTCTACATTTTATATGTAACAAGTGTTTGCAGTGTACAGTTATGATCTGAATTATTGCATATTATAAAATTAAAGAAATTTATTTTAAAATTAAAATAATGATAAAATTAGCAACCATTTGTTTGATGTAAATTTTAATTAAATTTTTTTTTTGATTTCTTGTAAAATCTTATTAGCTTTAATCCAATCTAAAAATGTAAAAACTAAAAAAAAAAAAAAAAAAACAAAATAATACTAAAAAATATTTTACATAATAAAAAGGAATTGTGTTTTGGTAAATAAAAAAAAAAAAAAAAAAAAAAACAGCTTATTTTGGTACATTGTATAAATCCATATTTTGAAGCTTCTATCTATTCACCCATTCATTCATCTTTGTTAAAACTAAAGTGAATTTTTTTTTTTTTTTTGTTAACCTTAGGTAATAACTGTCATTTATTTAAAAATTGTTTTAATGTATCATTTTATGAAGTTAATTTCTTTAAATAGTATTTTATTTTGTAGCTATATTATTTTCATTTTGTCTCTGAAAGCCCCGACTGTAAATTACTTAAATAGGAATAATTAGTCTTAAACGGAAGAATGTTTTGTTTGTTTGTTTTTGTTTATTTGTTTTTTTTTAACTTATTGTCTTTATGTCTTGCTAGTAACATTTTCATTAATACTTTTCTCTTAATTTGGTTTTATGTGTTGGTCTACTGAAGGGAATTTAATCTTTTTAAATAACGTCAGCCAAAGATCTGAGACAAAATAGAACCAATCAGTTGAGCATTTTTTTAAATTTTTATTATATATATTTTTTTTTTTTTTTTTTTTTGAATCTGCTTTTGGGGTATTTATTAGATATTTTAAAAACTTTTATTATGTATTTTTTTGGCTGTTTTTTTTTTTATTATATATATATATATATATATATATATATATCCTCTCAATATTAGTTGATGTCAAACTAAATTTTTAGTTAAATTTTTTTTTTTTTTTTTTCTCTGGTCATCAATTTCTAAATCTTAGCCAGGTTAAATCTGTGGTCTGCTCTTGGTTTCTTTCTTGCTGAGATAACAACTTCATCACATGTAAAAGTTAAAAAAAAAAAAAAAAAAGCAAACATTCACACACTTCACCTTTTCAGTTTTAATGAGAAGATTACTAAGAAAAAAAACATTGTCAAAAGTTTTAGATTTTTGACAAATATATTTTAAAAATAATTTCACAAAAGATATTTTTAAATTTTCTATGTCCTTTTTGCATGTTTCAGGCTGAAAAATACAAAACCAGCAATTGTAACTTAGGGTGGGTGGGGGGTTGTAGCATTAAACTGAAGGCCCTGACAAAACAAAAAAAAATAACTTTTGATTTTAGAATTAACAAAAAAGGCCTTATTAAATATATGAATTGCTTTTTATAAATTAATAATAATTGCTTGATTTGATAAAAAAAAATAGTCATTCAATATTTATGGCTTGATGTGTTTTTGCTTTTTCTTTCTTTCTTTCTTTTTAATTTTTTTAATTTCTTGTGGTACTTTTGCCTGTTAATTTTCCAATTCTTTGGCCGATTTGATTCTTCAGCCTGAAAATACAAACATATGAATTCATTCAATTATATATGCCTTTTTAAAATCATTTGGGGAAGGGGGGAAATTTCGGTGATTCTCCCTCACTTTTATTAAAAAGTAAAATAAATTTTCCACTTGTAATAATAGAATGTAATATTGTATTTGTTCCCCTTTGACTGTGTCAATGAAACCGGCCGTTGTCTCATCAAAAATAATTTTAAAAAACTATAAACCATCCACTCCCAACCAGTGAGACGCAACAATTTTGTTTGGAACAAAATAGTTTGTCTTTGAATTTACTTATTATGCTCTCATTAAATATTTTAATTTATGCAAAGAATTAATCACCTCTCAATTGATTAATACTTTTATACAAAGAAAAACAAAAAGAAAGAAAAAGTACTTTAATATCTTTAAGGTAGCAATTGTTTGAAATTTTTGAAGCATGGATTGAAAAAATAATTAAAATATAATAAAAATCAAATTTTAAAGAAACTTTAAACAATGGTTATCTCGTAAAATAAATTTTTCAAAATTCTCACTGAATCACTTGAACTTGATAAAATGCTTAAAAATATATTGTTTATTTAACAGATTTTAGATACTTTAATGCTATAGTTAATTATAATTGATGCTTTTGTACATTTATTTTGAATTTAAAACAGACAATATGAAATCAAAAATGTTTTTGATTAAATAAAATTTAGGATGTGTAAATTTAACATTTTGATAAAGCTAAGCTAATTATTAGAAACCATTTTGATAGATAAAAAAAATAATCCTCAAAATATAAATCTGTATTGATTATAAATTAATAAAGTGTAAAACTTAAATGTAATTGTTTAAAATAAACAAATTACTACATTTATGTTAATTTATATAAAGCACAGAAAATTTAACAGATGCTTCTTAGTGAAAAACTGTTTTTAGAAATGTGAAAACATTTCAAATTGAATAATAAAATATTGTTTGTTTTAATTCTCTCACTAATTAAGTTCTTTTCATGATTAGCAAAAATGATTCTGCTTAATTTTCTGTAACTGATAATTTTCATTATCCTGGGTGTTGTACAGATAGTGTTTTTAAATTTGTTTTAAATTTGTACAAGTTTTTCTTTCCATAACCTACAATTCTCTTTTAGTTTTACTCCTAAAATTATTCAGCTTTCCTTAAACAAATGTATAAATATGCATGTGTGTTTATATATATATATATATATATATATATATATATATATATATATATATATATATAATGTATATATATAATGTGTGTGTGTATGTATGTATACAAAACTCTCTCCTTCCCTCTCCCCATACCCCTCTCTTTCTCTACCCCCACCCTCATTTTTTAAAACCTTATATTGAAATTTTTCTTTCTTCCTCTTTTAATATTAAAATTTTTTTCCTTTTCTTTTTTCCTCTCCCTTTTCCTTTCATCTGGATAAATTGATTCCATTTATTAAAAAAAACTTTGGTCTGAAGAGATGAATATTTGTATATTCATGAAATAAATTATAACTGAATGGATTTTTTAAAGATCGTCTGTATTCACATATGAATGTATATATAGTTTCTCTCTCATTCATTATTATACTGTAAATGTCATTTAATATATTACATAAATAATCTTAATATTTCTAGAAGATAAAACTAATATTCTCTTATAAGAAGAATAAACATGAAACCAACTCCCTCCCACCCCTGTATGTTTATATATGGTTGGATATTTCAGTAAGGAGTTGTGTCCATGACTAAATTTCATATCTAGGATCTTTTGTTCTTATAAATGTGAGACAAGGCACCAATTATATTAATTTTTGATCATTATTTCTTCATATTTGTTATTTTTCCTCATCTTTGCTCTCTAATCATCATCATATGCATGAAGATCAATCTTTGCACAAAGGGGAAACTTAGCAAACAATAAAACTGAGAAAACAATTGATGAATTATTATTATTATTATTATCCTTATTTTATTAGTTTTTATACATAATGGGAGAAAATATTTTTTTTTTTTTTTTTTTCTAATCTTTGAAGTTCTTAACTTCTCATCAACTTTATCATCTGACTGGTGGCTAGTATGGTTCAATAATTATGAGATGAGGCATAATTTATATTTGTGAATTTCTTATGAGTCTTATCCTCATCTTTGGTTTTGTGTTTAAATCTTAACCGACAGTTTTTTTTTTTTTTTTTTTTTTTTTTTTTAAATTTATCATCTTCAGGTGATAACAAACTTAATCCATCTACTCATTTTATCTGAAGATAAATGGTGCAAAAAAAAAAAAAAATGAAAAAAAATGTTGTCAATTTTCAACTTTCATCTTAAATTCTATTTTAATTTTTGTCCGTTTTCTTGCTAGCATAAAAATAATTCTTTAAACTCCAATGTAAGCCGATCTGGCAATTAGACGAATCTCTCAAACTCTGGTTTGTTAACGTGGCTGCCAGAGTTTTTACGTTTACATTTTTCTCTTGTGGAGAAAAACAAACAAGAGAGAAGGAAATAATGTAATATTGTTTCATTTTATTTTTCAATTACTGGGAAATTCCAATAAAATTGTTAATTGGGTGATTTACTGCAAACTTAAAAAAAAAAAAAAAATTAAAAATGCTTACTCCATATCAGAATTTGGTTCAGATATTGAGAGCTAGCAAGAAAAAAAATTATGCATTCGCATGTGTATTAAATGTTGTTATTTTTAATAATAATAATAATAATAATAATAATAATGGATGTAGTCTTGTATATTTGCTATAACTACCACTATTCCACATGATCAATTGTGGCTGCTTTTAATTTTTATGACTAAATCTAATTAATTTAGTAAAACTGTTGAATATTGTTGCTATGTACATAAGCAATTTTATTGTCAATTTTAAAATATCCATATTTAGTGTCTGTTGTCAGACACTTAAAAAAAGAATAAAAAAAAAAATTATCCACTTATTATTTATTTATTGATATATATATATATATATATATATATATATATATATATAATCCACAAGATTAGTCTCTTAATTATCTTATTTTGCTCCTAATTCTATGTCTGTTCTTCTTATGGTTCTCTTTTTATTTTAATATTTTGGGGTTTTATTTATAATTCAAGCCTCTGTATTTAAGTGTTCAGTGTTGTTGCAGTTCAAATCTGTTTTTATTGCTGTATTTTGTGTGTATGAGTGAGTTTTTTCTTTTTTTTTTTTTTTTTTTGTTGTTATTATTACAAAAAACAAACCTGTTCTCTTAAGGTAATAAGCAGCATTGTAGGTTTCTCGAATGGAAGATTTTCATTTTTATGTTAGAAATGTACCAAATCTGAAAAATTGTTTAAAAACATTCTTTTTGCCTTCATTATCATCTTTAATATTTAGCCATTATAGAATTTCTTTCCCATTACCACACAGTTTTTTTTTTTCTAGATTTAGTGAAAAGCTAAAATGATTTTATATAAAAAAACCTACAAAGATGAAAAATAATATGATCCTTTTCATTTTGTTCTATTCTGTTTCTTTGGAAAATATTAACTAGGAAAAATAATGGCTTTTACATATGTAATTTTAATTCAAAATTTCTCTAAACATTTACACAAATTTTGAATGAATATAGTATTAAGTGGTATATGAAAATTGTTACCTTTTTCTTATCTGTTAAATAATTATAAAGTTTTAACACATTTCATACAGAAAATAACATTTCTTTGACAATGAGTAAATTTGTGTTGCGTTTTCTAGAATCTTTTAAAAATAAACTTTTATAAAGATAAATAATTTATTATTTTAAAAAAAAAATTTTTCTTATGCCATCATTGAAAAAAAAAAACATCTTTCTTAGTGTATTAATTCTTTGAAAGTTTGGTTGATTTGAAAGCAGTCTTTTAAAACTTATTTTCTTTGTTTTAGGACAAATGAAAAGTTGTCAAAAATGCATCATAACCAGTGCAGCAGCCATCGTTAGTAAATTTCTCTTCTTTTTTTTTTTTTTCTTTCCTTTTGTGCCCCCCACATCGGTGTGAAGTAACAGAGTTGCACACCTTCAAATACAACAATTCTTATTAAGATGTTTGATTCCCTAAGTCCCCATTGGAACTCAAAATCAAAGCTGACACTCTTTCTGTTGACTACACACTAATATTTTGTTTGTGAGTTAACATGACTGCGACATGGATTGAACAAATAAGAGATTCATGAAGCAGACTTGATAACCATTCATTTTTTTTTTTTTTTTTTTTTTTTTTTTTCAACACTCTAACCAGAAAATGGTCATGTGTTTTCTGCCAGCCGTTTTCTAATACCAGCATGTTTGGTTGTTGTTGATGACCTATCTTTCTTCTTATTTTGAAAATTGATTTCCTTAGAGTGGCACATGGACAAGACAGAAGTGACCCCAACTCCATGTGCCATTCTACATTTGGTTCATTGTAGTCAGTTATTGTCACTTTAAGATGCAGTTATGTTTGACAGAAGTTCTTTGGATGAAATGTTGATAGCCACTTGTCAGCTCAACAAATCATCACCATCGCCGCCAACAACAACAGCAACACCTTCACTACCACTATCCCACCATCATTGAGAAGTGTGAATACTGAATCTTTAACACACATCTTAAATTCTTACACATACTGCATGTCTCCTGATTGCCTTGTCTACTAACATTGGATCTTGAATTGTAAAAACATTCAATAATCCATAGATTTAAGGCCTTCAAACTGGAAATCGATCATTTTGAGCACTTCTGGGACTGACTTAGATGAAATCACTTGAACAATATTCTAAAAAAAATGTTGCTAAGTGAATGTGCACTCTACTTTTCGCTTTTTTTAAAATTTATTTAAATTATTTTAATAATTACATGAAAAAAAATTCCAGTTATTAAGGATTACCTCCCCTTGAGAATAAATTCTGTTTTTAACTGACTTGTCTCGATGATTTGCATATCAATCCCTTTTCTTTCTGGTTGAATCAAAACTACAATTATAGATCCTTATCTCAATCTCAGTATCAATGGCCTACAAGGTCAGTATGCTCACTCCTAGCATTGTTATGGTGGTGCTTTTTACATCTTTTATTGAATTAGAATTCTTATTATAAATTATATTTAATTGAAAAATAAAATTATCATTTTCTAAAATAGTTTTTATTAACATTTGATTTTTTTCTTTCCTGATTTAAAGTTATTTTTTCAATGATGCATGAGAATTAATCTAGAATTGGTTCTTTATTTTCTATTGTTGTTATTTTTTTTTCTCATGATTGTTTGAAATTTCACCCTCCCCTCCCTACTTCCACCAAAAATTATTAACAGAAATTAATTAAATATCAAATCAGAAATTAATTAAATATCAAATCAGAAACAAACAAAAAAAAATCAAACATGAAAATCCTCTTGAAAATCCTATTTTGTTTGCTTTGTTAACCTTTAAAAAAAAATTTTTAAATAAAGTTTAAAAAAAAAGTAAATGTTTTTTTTTTTCTTTTCTTTTTTTAAACTACAAGCTGTTGGTTAAAGATATGCAAGAGAAATGTTTAATTCTATGTTTTCTGTTTGCTTCTTGGCTTTGTGGTTTCTTCCAAAATATAAAATACTAATACATTTTGACAGCTATTCAAAATTTACTGAGTGCCTAAGAAATTGAGAATTAACTCTCACAAAATTCAAATTATTTGAACTGTTATCTAACTTACTTTTCGCTAGTGTACATACATATCCACAAGCATAGACTAATATTATTTACACTTCCACTAGCACGATGTACCAGAGTATGTGTAAATTTTCACACACACACGCGCCCGCTTAGGCATATTTATACACTTTGCCAAACACAAACATTACTGACAATATACACATAAATATATGGGGATTTTCTAAGCATAGCTTAGATCTGGCACAAGGCCGAAAGTATGGGGCACTCAGTGAGGATCGAACTCGCTACTAAATCATAATTGATCAAGTGAGACAAGGTTGCTAAGCATTACACCACGTCAAAGTGCCCAATATATATAAACATATGTATACATGCATATATAAATACATGTTTGTTTGTGTACATAATTTTGTGCACATATATGCCTATTTTTTTTTTTTTTTTTTTTTTTTTTGCTTAAAAAAGCTTACCTAACTGCAAGTATCTTACATTTTATTGATACACACACACACACATGCTAACTGGATAAGTAGGCTGCATGAAAAAACTGTATACATACACTTATATGAAACATATACCTACACACCTTCATATGAGTGTATATGTGATCATTAAAAATAAATATGTATATAAAAAAACAAATTTTAATTTTTGTGATTTTCTTTAATAACTTCTTAGAATTCTGTATTTTGCAAATTTTTTTCTTTATTTTAACCAAGCTTCTTTGGGTCCCCTAAAAATTGCAACGAATATTGAATTTTGTATACAAATTTTGGAAAAAATCCAAAGTAAACTAAATTATTTAAATATAAAGCAAGAAATTAACAAAAAAAAATCTCAAGTAAAAATTGGAATTTGCTGTAAGTAAATTTAAGTTTTGTGATTTGAACTGACCTCAATAACATGCATTTTTTATTGTATTTTTCAAATTTTCTAAATGATTTTCTCTCTATTTTGTATTTTATTTATTATTTTATTTTCGCTTTTGTTGTCTTTGTTATTTAGGTGTTTACATTTTTCTTTCTTGTGCACCCTTCCTGTCACCTAATTCACTTTTGTTATCTCAACCCTTCTTCCCCCACCACCACAATCCTCACACTGCATTAGAGCTCGTGAGATATTGCTTGGTCTTGACTCCACTTGCAACTACCCCCACAACCCCAATCAATCCAAAGTAGAAACAGTGGCAGAAGGCCTTCACACTGATAAAAAGGGGTTGGAAGGACAGGATTTGTAGCAAAGTCTGCTAGAGAGAAGAAAAAAAAAAAAAAAACATTCTTTTAACAAGTTTGACAATAAAATATTTACTGCATGAAATCTTGTCTTATTTTCATTGGCTTTTTAATATTTACATCAAGTGAAAATATCTTCTGCTTGGTGCATAGTTTCTTTTGGAAGTGCTTTTAAATTCATGGGAAGCTTATATATTGGTGAATGAGGGTGGAATTGGACATTGGCACCTGTGATCACAAATGATAATACTTGAAACAAAAAAAAAGAAAAAGGCTAGCAACTTGAAAGTGTATTGAGAAATTCCTTCCATTCGGGAACAAGTGACACCAAATCCAATATGAAGGTTAACAATGTAAACAAGACAGCAAAGAAATAAAAAATAAAAAAAAAATTAAAAAAAACTGTTCTGTTTATAGAAATAAAAGAAACTTTATTTATAATGTAAACAGCAGTTAGATGTGGAGAGAAATGATTAATACTTGAAATGCATTAATAATAGGTTGAAGTTCTGTGGGATTATTCCCAGCCGTTTAATATCAAACATGTAAATAAAATGATGATTTTTTTTTTTTTTTTTTTTTTTTTACTAGCAGAACAAAAAGGATCTCAGCTCTTTTCACCAGTGCTGTAGTTTTCATTTATTTATTTTTAAAATGTTTCATGTGACCACTAAGGGGGTCTAAATAATGGGTTTATATTTGACCCTATAAATACCTACTCTGCCGGATATGCAAAAATGAAGAATTTGGGTTCCCACAAGAAGTTGCCTTGAAAGGTGCTGAAACTTCTTTGCAAAACATCTGCAATTGTTGAAATAATTTTTTTGCTCACTTGTGTAGATGTTGGTCGTCATGGAGTATTGATGACTCTTGCTGCTATTGCTCAATGAACCTTCTTGAGTTGAGAGGAGGAAGTGATGACATCACTCTCCCTCCTGGCTAGGGGCAAAGGCTCTGGCTATCACCAAAAAAAAAAAAAAAAACCCTGAAAAGTGCAAACTCATTTTTTTATGAGCATCTCCAAGTCATGGCTAACTTCAAATTAGTCAATTTGCATACACACAAGAAAACCCTATATGAGCAAAATAACTCATCAGTTTCCTTTTCCCACTAGTATAATAAAAAAAAAAAAAAAAAAAACTAATTACTAAAGCAGACAATAATACATGTCTGCATTAAAAAAGGCAAAATCATTAAATTGGCAGACGACAACACATCTAATATTTTAACACTTGAATATATATTTTTTTTAATTTTCAAATAAAATACAGTATCTTAAAAAATAAGTGTACATGCAAAAAGTAACAAAATGTTTTTATTATTTTAATTTCCAACACACATTGATTTATTTTCTCATCAAGGTCAATGGGTCCAATAAATCTACTTATACAGGGTGCGATGTGTAAATTGTCGTCATTTTATATTTTTAATTTAACTCGTGCACATTGTTTTTGATTTTGTCAACTGCACAGTATATTTGGGTTTAGTTGGGCACTGTCTGTGAGCACCATGATGCAGTTCACTCCACCCGAAATTTGGAAGCAGCATGCTGTACTGCTTGGCATTTGTACCAGAAGCTCCAATACAAACATTTCAGAGTGTTTAGGTGTCAATCTGAGGACAGTGCATAGCATTCGGAAAGAGCTGGATGAGTCTAATGGTGATTACGAAGATGTTTGAAGTGATCACTAGTGATGGCAACATTATGCTTCCATTCATCCTCCCACAGGGCCTCAAATTCAATACAGAAGTTTACATCAAGTGCCTTGAGAGGGTAGTGCTGCCATGGGTCAAGAGAGTGGCTGCTGGAAGACCCTATGTCTGGCAACAGGACTCTGCATCATGCCACACAAGCAAGAGAACCCAATCATAGCTGTCAGACAATTTCTGCAACCACATCACCCCTTACATCTGACCACTTAACTCCCCAGACTGCAACTCCCTTGATTATTATGTTTGGGGCACAGTTGAATGAGATACCAACAAAACTCCTTGTAACACCAAAGATGAACTGAAGGCAAGGATTATGGCAGTATTCACCAACTTAAGCAAGGAAACCATCCAGAAGAGTTGCAGAAGATTCCTAAGTCATCTGGAGATTGTAGTTGAAGCCAATGGTGATTTTATTGAATAAATTTTTAACACAGAAAAATATTTTGAATTTACAGTGTTAACACATCCATAGATATGCATCCCCTGAAGATCGTCTCAGATAAGATTGAAAGTACTTGGGTAAATAAAAATTATTTGAAAGAAAATTTTGGAATTTTTCTGAGTCGTGTTCTATGAAACTTTGAAGTCACTTGAAACACAAGTTGCTTGTTAAACTTACTTATTTTTATTTTTTATTTATTTTTTTTACAATGGTGTTCACCCTGTACAAGGCTTGGGTGCCACTCAAGGTAGAGGGCTACAGAGTAAGAGGTACAGCTTATTCAGGTATGTGTAGAAGATAACAGCTAACTGTAGACTTAAACGTGGGGGTTGGTTCCTCGAGGCAGATGGTTTGTGGGGAAAAATCTGCTCAAGTGGAACTTACATCTCACCAAGGGAATATGAAGGGAGTGAGGGTGTTTGCTAAAATGTGCCTGGCATGGCAGGTCTTTAGCCATGAAGATTAAGACTGGTGAAACTAAGGAGTGGAGTTCATTTGAGCACCTGACATAGAAATAGCGTTAGAGCAGCAAGAGTTTTGTGACGTCACATCTGTGAGATAAGAGGTTGTAGCATGAGAAATAATTTGTGATTCAGAGATGTTTTTGACTCTATTGAGTAGAAAGCAAAGACTGGGCAGCTCCTTCCTAAATATGGCAGCTGATCTGACTCTTGTAGAAGATAGCAAGAAGAGTCAGGTACCTGCTAGAGTGATACAGAGAACTGATAATTTTTCCAGCATCTTTAATGATGGATCGTATCTATGAGTTCTACTTGAGGTCTGGGCTGTATCCCAATTGGTGTTCAAGTCGAGGTCCCTCCCTGAGGGAACATTCGTTCATCACGATTGGTGAAAGTTCTGGTTCCAGTTGGTGATAGTAGAATGTCACTAATTTGGTTTTCGAAGCATTGAATATGAGCAACCAGTTTTACCCTACCGCTAAGTTGTTAAACCTAGGTCAGAAAAAAAATCAGCTGCCAAGATCGCATAGGGTTTTGGAGGTGCACCTGTATTATCAGCATTGATCAGCAGATCTCTTATGCAATGTGAGGATTGGACCAAAAACCGAACCTTGGGGGAAGTGACTATTGTTATTCGTTCTCTATTTAGAACTTTTAACAAAAATTCTGCCTTGAAATAAGTAAATTACAGTAATTTGTATGCATTTTGATTATATATATATATATATATTAAAGGTAATAAATCTGTTGGTATATAATCCAAGTGGATCCTAGTAATATAAAATATTAAAACTGATCCACAAAAAGAGCTTAATGTATTTATTATTACAGAGTAAATAATTAAAAAACATTAAAATCCCAAATTACCTCATATGGGGAATAGACTTTTTTGGTAGATGAAGATATTTATTAACCCCACTGAGGTTGATAAGATAGATGTAGTTCAGTGCTAAAATAGGCTGTTCCCCATAAGAGGTAATTTTGGATTTTATTATTTATTCATTTTATATATATATATATATATATATGAAGAAATATAGTCTTAAGATATTTATGGGATAAAGTGCTCAATATCAGAGAAGATAGAGCGTGTGTAAATATAAAAGTGAACACTGAGAGGCGACAGTCTGTTTCAAACTATATGCAATTGTCAGGCCACGAGTGCTGTTATTTTCTCGGCTATTTATATATATACGGGTCAGTGGCGCATATATAAATATATATATATGATAAGAAAATAAAAATAAAAACAAGCAAAATAATTTAACCCAAATAAATAAATAAACGACTTCTGGTAAAATAACCACCAAAATAGACTACCCACAATGCACCACTGACCCGTATATATATAAATAGCCGAGAAAATAACAGCACTCATGGCCTGACGATTGCATATAGCATGAAACAGACTTTCACCTCTAAGTGTTGACTTCTATGTTCACTTTTATATTTATATATATATATATATATATATATATTAATCATTTCAGTCCAAGCAAGGTAGTAAAATACACTATGATACAAGGGGTTACTGAGAATGAAAAAAACAGAGAAGAGAATAAAACATCATAGATGACAGGAAAGCAAGAAACTATTAGCATAGAACTTATGGTTACAACTAGCCATTTCAAGAGTGAAGTTATGAGACCTAGTTTCCAATCTAGTACTGCACTTAATTTTGTGATGTCAAGGTATCAAGGAGGAAATCTCCTCAGAACAATTACCATGAAAATATTTATAGAAAAGGCCCAGGCAAACTGTTACACAGCAGTGGGAAAGTGACTGAAGCTGAGATGTCAAAACCTAAAACATAAATGTGCAAGATAGATTCTGTCAGAAAAACATTATCTAACACAATGCAGTGAACCAACTTTCCTAAAAAGCAGACCTAAAATTTCAATATAATTGTTCTACTTCATGTCAGTGGAAAACAAGAGAAGGTGCAGTGAGTTGCTCTTCTGAAGGTAAAAAAGGTTCTCTAACATGATTATTTCATTTTAGAAATGTTAAAATTAACAAGCCATTTCTTGCCCCAGTAAACAATTGATTAAAGGTCATTTTTGAGATCAGCCACCAGTTTTACTTTATTGATCATATCAAACTTACTATTGGCAGGAGTAAATAGTTGTGTCATCGGCATAAATACTGAGTCAGGTATTGATGAAACCAGGAAGGTCATTGATGAAAATAAGGAACAAATTATGTCTAAGGATAGAGCCCTGGTGGACACCTGCATCAAAATCATGTAGAAGAGTTGCTGTTCAAGACAACTGTCATTATGCGGTTTGATAAAGATTGAATAAAATCCATGAAACAGCCAGAAAAACCCTAACCCTTCAGCTTGTAAAGAAGACCAGTCAAATGCAATCAAAATATCTAAAGCAACAGCCTGAGGTTTTCCATTCTTATGTTAAGCTAAGAGACACTTTCAGCAACAACTGTCAACACATCACTTAGAGGAGTGGAAGCCATATTGTTTGTCTGAAAGAAGGCCAGGCAAAGTGAAATGTTTAACCTATTTGAAGTTTATTAGAACATCTAGTACTTTGCCAAAAAGATGTAAAAAATACCGTCAAGTCTACATGCTCTGTGGAGACCAAGTTTGGAGATAACAGTAGAAATCATATATATATATATATATATATATATATATATATGTGTGTGTGTATTATGGAAGGAAGCATATCTTCATTCAAGCATGTTTGGTTGAATAATCTAAACATATTCTGTCTATTTATTTTTATTTTAATCTCCTCAAATTCACAGATCAATTTCTTGATGCTGTTACAAAACTGCTAGTAGCCTATAGATATAGAAGTGTTAGGGATCAGATAGTTTTAATTTGTGCCTGACTGTTGTTATATGCATGAAACTTTGAATTGCATCGAGTGGTGAGGAATAAATATATAAATATTCTAAATTGTTTTTAATCTGGAGCCCCAAGATGATAAGAGGGTCCTTGTAGCCTATATGTAAATCCAACACATTTGCATGTTATGAAAATATCTCTACTCAGAGTAACATCAAAATTTGCCTCATTCAATGGGTGGATTGATTTGTTTTTTACAGTTTATCAACCTTTTGCAGGTTATCTCAAGCCAGAAAACATTTTTAGATTGTAAGAATTTTTTGGGAGATAATAATGATTTACTGATACAAGTTCTACTAATTAACCCATAGCTTGGAGGGCGAGAAGCAGTGCATCCCAAGAGTATTTGTACTTAAAGGAATACAATAAACCCAATTGGAATTGAAACTCAGCTCACTGATTTCCAATTCCAGCTATTATCCATTGCACCACCCACACATCCAAGCTTACCAAACATGGTATTCCAAAGCAGTCATTCATCTAGGTACTGACCAGGTTCAACATTGCTTAACTTTGGTGATCTTATGAGAACTGGTGTTTCATCATGATATGGCTGTAAGCTCTTGTTCAATTACTGTATTTATGGGCCTATTGGGCACACCCACACATTGGATGCACCCAGATTTTGGCATGGAATATTTAAGAAAAAAATGCACACATCACAACCACCACCCAAAAATAAAATAACCTTAACTTTATATGACCTTCTCACTAACCATGAAGAAACATTTACAATATTATCACAAATTATACTATTGGCACTTTCTTTTTTTTTAAATAGAATTGAGGTACGGTTTAATTACGAGGACATTTTTTGAAAAAGAAGAATTTTAGTACATTTCATCATAACTTTATTGAAAATTGTATTTCAGGGAGCAACATCTGCACATACAGTAAATTCATAATAACTACAAAGAAATCAACTGGTATCAATAAACACTGGTAGATATAGTAATACGTAAAAAAACGAAATATTGTATTTGTTGGTAAATGAAGTCCCATACCATACATGCAGAAAAGCAAATTCCAATACCTTTATATCAACAAAAATACACACAAAGCAAGCAGCAATATTTCTGTCAAAGTAAATATTTCTGTAAAATCTGGGATTGCTACAAAACAAACAGCAAAATATTGTCCAATTCTATAAATTTCTTAATTTCTTTTTCCTGGGTGAATTCTTCAAGGATATTTTTATTGATATCATGTTTTTTTCTCTTCCAGGAATCCTAGTTTCAGAGCTAAACTCTATGTGTACCCTGATTCCTGGTGAACTTCACTATTCTCATGGTCTTCATGGCCCTCTCATATATAATACTGATGTATTGGACGCAGGGTAATTTTTTTGGTGCATTTTTTTTGGAAAAATTCAGCATCCAATAGGTCAGCAAGTGCAGTACATGAAAATCAAAGAAATGTAGAAAATGAAATGTCAATTTACATTATTTACATTGTTCGGACTGTTGTTTTCATCTTTATTGTCATGTTCACAACATTTCGGATGTTGTACACTCCAGCCTTCTTCAGGTGATTGAAATTTTGAACTGAAACCTTTATTTCGTCCACTGGGGTAGATTGTTCTAGTTCCACATGTCATGCCTCTTCTGGATGTCTCAGTTATCTCCCTTTAAGTCAACTCTGCAAGTTTTTTTGTTCACCACTGCCATAGCCAGGTATTGAACTCACAATCATGTCAGTGGATCCAACCAACGCTTTTATCCACTGTGCCATTTTTTGGGGGACTTATAAACTTAATGTCTCAGTAAACATTTTTTTACCAAAGTCCATATTGCAATTTTGCTGTTATTATTGCTTTTTTTTTTCTAGCAGTAATCAGATGTTGAGCCTAGACAGGGTGAGTTTCTTCACACAAACAACACACTTCGGAATGGGATCAGACATATATCGACAGGATGAAGGCTTAGCAATGGGATCATCATTATCACCAGCAACAGCAAACATATACATGGAATATTATATTAGTATCCACATCACTAAAGCCAACCCTGTGGCTGAGATACGTAGATGACACCTTCATACTCTGGCCACACCAGGAAGAGGTCCAACTACTGAACTCAATAAGATCATTTATACAGTACACAATGGAGCGAGAAAATTCCAGTCACCTGAAGATGGCTGGAGCATACAATGTCAATTTGACAATAAAGATAAGGATAACAGTCCAAACAATGTAAATAATGTAAATTATTACAATACCTAAAATACAGGCAGATTATGAAAAGTCAAATTTAAAAATAGTGGTATATATATATATATATATATATATATATATATCTGTAGTGTTTATAGACTTAAGATTAACAAATCTAATGCTCATCTAATCAGTTTGATCCTTACTTGGTGATACACAACTTTGACAATTCTAATCAGAACTTAGTAAATACATTTGATACCTAAAATCACTAATGAAAATAATTTGTAAATTCAGTTCTCAATGTGTACCTTCCACTGTAACACAATGGAAACAGGCCATGGCTTAGAATGCCCAGAAAATAAAGTGGACTGTGAATGATTTTTTCTGGGCTGAGTTTTCTGACTCTATAGACAGTAAACTCCAGTAATGAGAGCTGAAGACAGGAAGTGAAGTAAATAAGTTAAAACTTTTGAGATCAAGAGCCACTGGTTGAAAGTTAGGGAGTTACAGTCACAGAGCTTTCAGTTATTTATGAATAGTTCATAGAGAGATTTGAAATGTCAGGGTTACAAACTCACATCAATCCAACCAAATATGTTAGCTCTATCCCTGATATTGAGCGCTTTCTAATAAGTACCGCACATATAATATATAAATAATTATACATATATATATTTATTTATATTTATATACTCTTTTCACACATATATATATATATATATATATACATATATATATTTATGTTTATTTTTATATACACACTTTTGATATATATATATATATGTAAGCAAATATATGGATATAGATCCGATAGTATGAAGAAAAATATACTGAAAAAACAAACAAAAATCCTAATATGTGATTATGCTGTTTTAATGTTTAATGTCAACATCGGACGTTTCGGTCTAATAGACCATCTTCAGGACATATTCATAAAACATAATTAACATAGACCATATACAATTCAACATGAAAAAGATGATGGACATAAAAGCAATACCAATCCAAACAGATAACTGAAATCTTTTATAAGATCAGCGTTCCGTTTAAATATGATCACGTTGTCACGTGGGCGATGTTGTGAAAACGTATTCCTAAAATTTGAGTATTTTGAATGGAAAACAAAAAGAATTTTATTTTGATCTAAAACTTATATGTACGTCTTTATATATATATATAAGATGAATCAATTAGTTACTTTTTTATTTGGTATTCTAGAAATATTTGAAGTGACATTTTTATTGATATTTAAGAAGCTTAGCTTTTTTTTAATAAATGTGATGAGAAAGATTGTAGTGCACCAATCTAGAAAGAGGAAGAATGGTCTGCTTTGAAAATCAGCATTTGAAACTAATTCTTTATACTGGAAATACCTTAGACACAAGGTTAATTAATGTACAGTTGGAAGTAAAGTCTCTCTGTCCATTTGAAGTAAAGTTAAAATAAATCCAATCACTTCAGTTTCGTTTCTCGTAATATAACAGTCGGTGCAAAATGTAATTGATCCTGACTTGGCATCTCGACTTCAGTCATTTTCTCACCAACGTGACATGACTTCCCTCTGTCTTTTCTACTACAAATATTTTTATGGCAACTTTTTTCCCTGGTGCCTCAACTACATGAATTTAAGCATTCTACCAGATTGGCAGTTAGGTCCCACCCTTTTACTGTGGAAATAGTTAAATGCAACTGCCACTTCTACTCCAACAGTTTCTTTTTTCACACTTTCTGCCTGTATAATACTGCGAGACATCCTGACCTCTGCGCTACATGACAATGTTGTCCCATCCTCGGTCACCGGTGTGTCCAGAATTGAATCTAGCTACTAACTGTAAAATTGGTCACTTCAATCCAAGCCTCTCCCATGTTGAATTTGTTTTGAACACAAGGCAGGCAAGGCTCGAATCGTCACCAGATATTGCTAGATTGGTGTCGTTCAAGCAGGACGATGTTATAAGACAAAAAAAATAGAAAGTTGTGCAAATCAACAAGGTTTATATAACTGAGGTTTATACAGAAACACTTTTTTGTATAACAATCTACAATCATGCAGGCTAACGACCATTCCCTCGGAGTCTAATTTTGTGACACTTTGTTTCCAAGTCGAGGTTTCAAACTTTAAGTCAGAGACTTCTTCAGGCTGCAAATTAAGAATGTTAATGAAGCACTCGTCTCCTTCTCTCTCTCTCTGTCATTATATAGAGACTTTCAATTCTTCCACTTTGTAATTTCATCAGGGCACTCCACTCAATTTATCTAATAGTCTGAAACAAGGTATGACCCAAGAGTTCTTGATGGCAGTAAATCACATAGGCATCAGCAAAGCAATTGTCTCCTCTTGGCATAATGGAAGCACATTTCTGCCTCAACTGCTACTCTCTTTATCTGTAATTCCCCTCTGATCTAATGCTTTTATGGACCCTTGCACAACATCAGTTTGGAGTCCGACATGATCTGGGGTTCCAGGATTTTCCAATTATCCAATCAGAACTCTCTGTTGACAGTGTCCTGGGAGGTAGTTTGCATGTACAAATTTGGGGAATACTTCCTCTGGATAGTAGAGGTAGCAGGAGCATTGACCTAGCCCACTTACTCCTCCTTTCTCTTATTTGTACCTTATACCAACACCCCTCAATGGGTATAGTCTGTTTTCTCCTACTCTATTTTGTTCACCAATCTACTGGGTTAGCACGTGCGTTTGTTAATTAAAATTATCCATCACAACCTCACATCATTAGAAATGTCCTTTGTCATAAAATTTCTATTGATATCTTCCAGATTTCCCATCTTGGATAATTAATATTTCTTTCCTTGTTTTCAGAGGAAGACTTTGACCAAACTGTTATCTTACTAATTGACCGAATTCTTCCTTCATCATTCAAATTCTGGATTGTATTTAAAGAAATCTTATTTCTTTAGCTGCATGCACATCTTCCACCCCCTATTAACAAGTGACAGAATCATTTCTTTACCCTCTTCTTCACCTATTTGTAGCCATAAACTTATTATCTGTGACTAGTTTGGTGGTCTCTGTCCAAAACAATACCAGCCCTGGTCAACTTGTGGATGTTATCACACTCCTCTCACACCATCCCTTGGGCTTCAATTTAACCAGATGCCTAAGCAGATTTCAGTGCTAATCTTCTAGTGAGGTCCTTTACTCACAAAATGGGAAAACAAGATAAAAGTATATTTTCTTTTGTTTTTGGTATGTCTTTCTTTCTACCTTCAGTATTGTGTTCATTTTTCCCGTTTACTTGCTTCCCTGATAACTACAATCTTCAAAGATTTAAATGCAACATCAATCGCCATCATCTGTCTTCTTGAATTCCATTCATCTGTTGTCCTTTCCTCAATCCTCCCTATTCTCAGTCTTCTCTTTCACTTTCACTTTCATCCCCCCC